CCGGCACTTGGCCTCCAGTATTCCCTCCAATATTTCATACTTCCCTGGAAACAATAGCTGTTTTCCTCAGGAGCTGCAGGGTCCTAAACCTTGTGACATTGATCTTTTCTGTCTTTCAGAGCACTAACACTTCTCCTTAAGCTTCAAAAATGCAAACCTCGTATCAAGATACAACATTTTAAAGCCACATGCTTTAGAACAAAGCTTTTTCTTACTGTTTTCCTTTTTTCAGGGAACTTGTGCCGCTGTACTGGATACAGGCCGATCCTAGATGCTGGTAAAACCTTCTGTAAGGTAGGAAGTAATGATGATAGGAATATTAGGTCATGGCCATTAGTGTATATATGTACACAAACCATCAAGATTTTCTTTAAGATCATATCTTTCATCTGTTAAGAGATGTAGGTGTAAGTAAGGTGTAGACTGGCCTAACCCATTACAAAAATTAACACAAATTAACTTAGTGTCTAGTCTGGATTATGAAGAGTAATCTGAAATAACTGCATGTGTTTTACTGTGGGTCAGTACTGGCATAAACAAAAGCAGAATTTGGATTGATGTTCTTAGTAATTTATCCTGTAATGCAGCATGTAAAAAATCTACAGTGAAAGAAGTGGGAGAGTGAGCAATGGATAAAAGAAATAATGGAGATGATCTATGTGTGCTCTCACAAGGTCAAATGAATTTCACATAGTATGAATTATTTCATATTAAGGGCTTCAACATCCAATGATTTTAAGTTATTTTTGGATATCACTTCTTTAATGCATAATCCTTCCAATTTAGCTTATTTTTAAACTTCATCTAGAACTTAATTTAAATATAGAGAGACACTCTTACTAGCTTAAGCAGGCTTTGACTCATTGCCATTCTGGGCAATAGTTCACTAATGGAATATTCCTACTTTAGGAATCCATTTGTTGTCAAAGGAAAGCAAATGGAAAGTGTTGCTTGGATCAGGAAGATGATTTGTTTGACAAGGAAGATAAGGTAGGGTTTTAAGTATTTTGCCTGTCCTATTTAGATATAAAACTTATAGGAAGAATATTGCATGGCTTTTTTCTTGTAATTAAAGTAAATGCAATATGCTCTGCCATTTTTATCCTCCACCTTATTAGCCTTCCATATTATTTGTAAAATAATGTATTCTCTTATTCCTTGCAAGTAATTTGGAGATATTTCTGAAAATTAAGGATTCTTCATGTATATTTGTATGAGGAGGTGATGGTGTGACTGATCTCCAGAGCTGAGATTTGAGCAGGTCTTCAAGCTCAGGAGTAATTATAGTCTCAGCTCTACTTGTACAGTGATCGTCATATTGTGCAAGAAATTGTCATATGTGGAACTTAAATCAGTGATCAATGAGGACCTGAATGTAACTACTGATCTCTTAGGAATCTAAGTGCTGGCTTGAGTCTGAAGAACTAACACACTCTTAAAAATCAGAATTATTATTGTTATTTTATGTGAAACCTCTTATCCATACAAATATTTGACTTTTTTCTCAATTTTCTTTCAATAATATCTGATCTGCTTTTTTTCGAGTACTGTAGATTGGTGTGAAACCAGTTACTTTCTTATAGTAGGAATAAGGTAGCCTGTAGTTAGTTTTCAGTTGCTTGCCTCTTCATTGTAATTTGTATTAGCAGTGAACTTTGAGAAACTGTTAGGAACAGTTCCTTCACCTCAGCAGCTCCACATGATGTGTAGTAATTTGGCACCAAATCCAAGTGATAATGAAATTAATTATTTTCTACTGACTTCAGTGGGACCCTCATGGTTTGTTCTTGGTTTTGCTGTTTGTATTTTTTTTAAATGGAATTAGTGATGAGAGAAAATTCTTGGTCTTTTCTTGTTTTCTTTCTTTTTAAGGTTGCCACCAAACTATTTTCAACAGATGAATTCCAGCCCTTAGATCCCACCCAGGAGCTTATATTTCCTCCAGAACTAATGGTAATTTTTGGACTGTTCTTATGGACTTACGGACTGTTCTTTAGCTCTGTTTTCCTTAGTAGTCCATATTTCAGAACCCGTTCTGAAGTCCTGCTTAGAAGTAATTCATCAGAAGAAATGTCATAACATTTTAATATAAATTGAAAATTATATCACTTTATTTAAAAGTGGGCTTATTGAATATTCACATACAGAAATTAATCATGTTGGGAAAATGCAGCTGCAGAGTTAGGTATTAGGTGAGAAGATAAAGAAGTAACCTAAACTGCATTTTCAGTGCAGCACCTGAAGATACAAATGCTTCTCAGCAAACTGAATGGCAAACACTTTTTCACATTGGCAAAACAATGCATTTTCCCCATTCTGTGGCTAATAGTCAGCCTCAGATAGCCACCGAGACCAGAGTGTATTTAGCCCCAGTGATTACAGTATGACAAAGATGTAGGCAACTGAAAGGAGCTATTCCTAAATTCTTTTGCTTAGAGGCTATTAATTATCAATCTTGATTATTAGTCCAATGGAATTAATTGAAGATGTTGCACTCATGAGGTTTAGAAATTCACCACTGTGCAAAGAGCCAGCATAGCAGTCTCATTTCTGTCTAATTTTGAAGGATTAAGTAGAGGTGCAGTTGTTTAAGAACTTCTTTTGACTTTCAGTCTAGCATCTGTTAGACCTTGCAAATGTCTATGTGTCTAAATATTTTAATTCGCCACATTTCCCCATCAGAGAATGGCTGAAAATCAACCAAAAAGAACTCTGGCTTTTCGTGGGGAACGAATGACCTGGATTTCTCCTGTAAGCTTAGATGAATTACTGGATCTGAAAGCTGCCTACCCCAAAGCACCTCTTGTGGTTGGGAACACCAGTCTGGGTATGTATACAATCAGAATGTCTCCTGTTGCCATAGATCAACTAGGCATGTTGGAGTTGTCATTATAAAAAATGTCTTTTGTCTAAATCTATTTTTATCTGGTAGGACCTGAGATGAAGCTTAAAGGTGTGTTCCATCCAATTGTTGTTGCTCCTGCAAGGATCCCGGATCTGAATGTGGTGAAATTCATGGATGATGGTCAGTAGACTTTGCGTTGTTCAGACATAGGATATTCCTCTGCAGTAAGGGATGCTGCTACATTCCATAGTCCTGAAGGTGTGAAGTGCTGTGCAACTCATTCCTAAGCATGCTTGGTTCTTTCCCAGGTCGAGGTGGCTGTGGCCACTATCCCAGTGCATGATACAGTTTTGTCTTCTTGACAGAGTGCAGTACCAACCAGCAGTATTATCTTGGGCCTCCTTAGTCTTACTAGTGCAAGGTTAATTACTCTGTTAATACTGGTTCTGGTGCTAAGTCCTGTAATATTCCCTTTATGATCTCTCTACCATGCTATGCCTTATAGCAGGGAGAGACTCAAATAGAACCACATTGAGAGCTTGCAACACTGCATGTTTGTCTACGTTAGGAAAAAAGGCTGTGATTAAACTGGCATAGCTAATATGCATTAAGTAACCTTATTCTCAATCATAAGCGCATCAGTTATTGTAGATTAAAATATTATACCTCAATTTATGTATTTAAGATAAGCATGGATTTACTTTTTTAGTAAAAGTTACACTGGGTTTTAGTTTTTAAATAAATTCTATTGAAATTAGAAATAACAACTAGAAATATATTTAAATTTACTTTAATAGCCTAAATTAATTAAATATAAATTATGTTATGCAAGTTTAATGCCAAAGTTTTAAGGAAAATTAAACTCTGATGAAAATTACTTGCTATATGCCTATTATATTTTTGATCGAATTCCAGTGTTCATTCACAACATTCATACATTATGTAAATAAAATGTAAGAATTTTCAATAGAAAGGCACTGTTTACCATTTTATCATATTGACATTTTTATAGGTTGTCTTTCTAGTGGGAAAAAGAAAACCAAAATCAGTGTTAGGACTGTCTGGGGTTTTTTTCAAATACTACCTACACATACCTTAAGAGAATAACTAGAATGTACATATGCAAAGCAAGATCAAATTATGATTAAAATTATGTTTAAAAATAGGAAGGGCCTGTTTGAAAGCATTTTGAAGCTGACTCACCTTTGGGTGAAACATCACCTAAACATTTAATCGAAGATGGTACAAGGGAAGCAGTTGGAATGGGCAGCTGGAAGCAGAGAAGGGATTCCCCTGTCAGTAGAAGTGGTGAGCAATTAGCTCAATTTCATAATGCCATGAAATTTTACCCTCACTTTCCTGAATTGAAAGGTCACAGTACATTTAAAAAGCAAAGGTCCCTCTCCTTCTATCTGCCCGCATTCCACATGAGCAGTTGTGAACACAGTTTAAAACTTAGGCAATAAGGCAACATGTGCATTACACTTTCTTAATCTTTTGGTTACAGGATTAACTCTGGGAGCTGCCTGCAGCCTCTCTCTAGTGAAAGACATCTTGACAAATGCAATCTCAGAGTTTCCTGAAGAAAAGACACAGGTTTTCTGTGCTGTCTTGAAGCAATTAAGAACTCTGGGTGGAGAACAGATAAGAAATGTTGCTGTATGTTGTCTGTTACTTGCAATAACCATTGTAACAAATGTGAAATTGCTCCCAACCATATGTAAAACTTGCATTTTAATTCTGTTTTTAGCAGTGAATTTTCTATTACATTATTTTTGAGCTTTTGATATGTATAAATTTATGTATAGTCCACATGTTATGTGGTCACTTAACATAAAAATGTAAAGATGATGGAGAAAGGTAACATGATTTTTTTTTTCAAGTCATTAGGTGGAAACATCATAAGTAGAAAATCAACCTCAGACTTGAATCCTATTCTGGCAGCCAGCAACTGTATTCTCAGTCTGGCTTCAAGAGGTAAGTGGAGATACCTCTGGCACTACTACAGTGACAGGCTATAGTGTCCTATTGTATGAGGAGAGTGGAAATAACAGCAGGTGAGCATTTGTTAAGGAGCCCTTTTCCCACTCTTATAAAACATCACATCTGCAAGAGAAGCAATTTGCAAGCGAAGAACGTATCAGAGATTCTCATGACAAGTGTAAGCATTCAGACCAACCAGATCACATGAGTTTCTGTGGGCAGTTAATTACTATAAGCACTCATTAAACCTCACAGTTTGAGTAGCTGTGTACTGCCTCCTTGTTAGTTATTTTTTGTAACTGATGGTTTGCTCTGGTTTTAAAATCACTCTCTGGCCTTAAGAACTCTGGCTTCTCATTCCTCACAGATACGTAGTTCTGACGCAGGAGCCACTAGTCCGTCACCTTTTTCCGTGCCCATTTCCTCTGTTTCCTTCCATCACTGTATACAAGCTCCCCTTTACCTGCTCCTTTTCTTGTGCACTACCTTACCTTTGGAAGGTTGATGAAATTATTGGTAAACATGAGCTATCTGGTGGCCTGGAGTTGCATGCTCTCCCTTCTAAGTGGCTTATGTCCTTTTTGCCCTTGATCCAAACAGGGTGCATGTTGCCATTTCAGATCTTGTAATACTCCACACCCTGAAATACACATTCTTTAAGGGGTTGTTTCTGAGCTAGGATTTCTTTGAACAAGTACACAAAAACTTATTCTGTTTGATTTCCATTATTTCTTCCTGTGTATCTAGGCATTGAGAGGAAAAATACCTGTCATAATGTTGTTCTGACAAGTGAAAGTGCAAACATTTGCATCTTCTTAACAATTCTGATGATGTGCCTACTTATTTGAGTGATGAATAGGATTACTGATTGATTTCTCTTTCTGTTAACTTGTCAGAGTTTTACTGCTGGAAGAGGGTTTTAGGCATTTTCACAGGTTTTTAAGGTGTTTCTTTAGCAAACGGTAGCCAGTGAAACATAGGAAAAGTGAGTCGTTCAAGAAAAGGAGGTTGCAGGAACACTATTAGTTCTTAGTAGTTATTTTAGATCACAGTGTAAGAGAAAATGCACCTTCCTGCAGGCTCACAGGTGGGATTAGACAGTAATCTTTATGTATGTAAATGAAGTAAGTGTATGCTGGATGGAATGGCAAAAGCAAAAATCCAGAAATGCTAGTGCTGCTACTCTTAAAAGTGTTATTTTTCAGATTCACACTTCAGCAAAATAAAATTCCTTTACTAAAATCTTACTGTCACACTGGTTATATTTGAGGAATGCAAATTTAATGCTAAATTATATTCTAGGATGAACAGGTTAGAGTGTCATCATCACACATAACATGAAAAGCATGAAGAAAATAATCTTGCTGTAAAGCAGCCAGTCTTGAAGTATCATGTTCATTGGGCGTGAGGGGAGTATTTTAATACATGAACCTTTTAAAAATGGCACAGAAGATTATCTGGTTATAGAAAGTCCTGGGATAGGTCAGGGCTACTGCAAGATAAATATTGTCTAGTTGTAAGAAATAATTTATTTGAAAATGCATTGGACCCCTTAGGCTGCATGTGAAAAGTACAAAGGGCACAGAAAACTAGTAAAAATTAGACTTTGACTTCATTTGTCAAGCACACATGGTTAAATTCCACACTGGTGAATCACTGAATTTCCATCTGTACAACGTTTATGCTTCTGTGTTCTTGCAAAATGACAGTGCTACTTGACAATTGCGTTACTGGTACAGTTGCAGTCCTACCAACAAAACTCCTTGAGTCAATGCAGCTTCTTTAATTAACAGAATCAGTTATACGTGTTAAAATGTTACATTTCCAGAAGGCTTGCTAGCTTAGCTGTGTTTGCTAACCTGATGTAGCATAGATTAAGTTTAAGTGTTCAAAGGGCTCTTATGGATTTATGTTCCTTGCAGAATATTGTCTTACTCCCTTTTGAAATTACCATCTTTAATAGTATATATGATAGAATGACAAACATAGTCACTTTTTGAATAATCTTCCAAAAAGAGAAAGGAAAAAGCAATAGCATTTATTCCCTTCTGGACTCCTGGAATTGTACAGCATCTCAGAACAAAACCAAACAAAAAAAAAATTTTACTTCTGCAGCAGTTGTCTCCCATTCAGTTTTCTTCCTCATTCTTTATGTTTTAGAAGGAAACAGATTGACAGGAGTGCAGATGAGATCATTGTGGCAGTATCCGAAAGGAGGATTATGGAATTGGGGTTGATCTCTGGGTGCTTTCTTAGGACTCTGGTGTTATGATATTAGGGAAGATGAAGTAGTCATTTATAACTATAGTGCATACTACTGACAATTTGTTATGTAAACTCTGCAGTTATTTACTCGGGTATAACTTTAGGTATTTCTTGCTGATTAAAATATGATTGATAAATGTTAATTGCACAATTGTACAGACATTTCTAGATTCAGGTTTTGGTTGTTGGTTTTTTTGGTTTTTTTTAGGAAGAAAACGACAGATTCCTTTGAGTGATATTTTTGCAGATGGAGTTGGTAACAATACCATTACTCCAGAAGAGATTTTAGTCTCTGTCCATATTCCTCATTCTAGGAAGGTAAGTTACTGGTTTGTTTAGATTTGCTTTATGCAAAGTTAAAGACTACTAAATAAAGAGCAGGGGGTGGCATAATCCCTATGTTTAAAATAACACTATTACTGTGTGCGTTCTGAATTTTTTATGTTTGATCCTGTCAGTGCCATACTATCTCCCAGCCAAAAAACACAACACAGCAGGTAGTTGGTGATACATAATGAGTGATATTCAGACAAAAGTGTACCTTTACGGCAACAGCAATTGTCTAGACCTTGTACAGAAAGGGGACTTGGACAAGCTGCCATAGTCCTCACCAAAGCAGGCTGCTCACCTGTGATACGGTTTTCATCAAGCAGGTAAAATATTGTTGTGTCTTGAGGATTTTTCTTAAACTGAGATAAGATCAGACACGTGCGTGGTGCTTCCGTAAATGTTGCTGAATTGAATAATAGTCTATGGCTGATATTGCGTTTGCAATATGGATATGGATGTGGAATCTTATAAGAGAATTATGAGTTGTGTTATCCGAGTACTGAAGTTTGGCAATACTTTGAAACCTCTAAGCTTTTGGTCTTGTTATAAATGCAACTCCACAAGATCTGTGTCTTCCAGCTATGTACCATGAAAAAAATCTACGTCATCTGAACTGTGTAGGTGGTGGAGGATTGGGTATGAGCTGCTAGAAAATTTAAGATGCTATAGTTACTGAAATGTCAAGAGAAAGATGTGTATGGTCTTGAATGCTTAGGAAGTTGAATTTATCCTCTTCATTTTTTATTCTCTTTCTTCACATAACACAGTAACAAGTTCAGATACTTACATGTCTGCAGGTTACCCACTTCTGTCTGATCTTGCTCAGGGGGAGTATGTCTCTGCGTTTCGACAAGCACCAAGACGGGAAAATGCTCTCCCAATAACCAATGCTGGAATGAGAGTCCTTTTTGAAGAAGGTACAGACATAATAAAGGATTTAAGCATCTTCTATGGAGGTGCTGTCTCGACCACAGTCTGTGCAAAACAAACCTGTTGCACACTTGTTGGAAGGTACATTTTCTCTGCCTTCTCTGTATCTCTGAAAAAAGGTACTTTGGGAGATTGGGTGTACTTCCTTGGAGTGTGAAAGTACAGAAAGATTTCTCTTGCCTAACCGATGCCACGTCTGTTCGAGTGAAGGATCTGGTCAAACCTTAATGATGAATTTTCAGGATTGTTACATTTTGGAGTCTGTAGATGCATGCAACTCCAGTGTGAAGTATGCAGAGAGATATGAGCCGTAGAGAGGTGGATAAGGTATACATGGTCAGTTGTGTACCTGAACCAAAGCACTGGTAAATGACACAGTATCCCATAGGTTTGATGATCCCCTAGTATCGGTGTTCTTGAGAACTTCAGTTTGGCTCTAATAGATACAAAGTTTGAGAACTTCATATGGGCCCAATAAACTTAGGAGCACAAGTCAACCCTTAAGCTTTTTAATATCTCTTCATCTACAAGATTAATAATAATCTAGTAATCTCTGAAGTTAATCCCTGACATTCCCTCCCATTTTGCAGTGTCTTTCCAAAGTTTGGAGGACAAAAATTACAAATAATTCAAGCAGTATAAAACCATTTATCTAAACACAGTTTACTGTTTTACCATTTAATATGCAACTGTTTCACTAGTTGAAACACTCATTAGTTTTTGCTGCTTTACATGATTAAATTTATTTTAACTGATTTATATTTTGATATCTAGGGTTGTGTAACTATGGAGAATTAACTCTGTTGAGTTACTTCAAGGAGACATCCTTTTCAGCCAATGTAACAACTATGTAACACTAATCAGATTCCTCGGAAGCATCTACAGTTTGCATCACTATCGTTACCCACTTTTCTTTAAATACAGGACAGTATCTGCTGAATAGTGATGACCTGTAAGACTGTTAAATCAGCTTTAAAGCTGGAATAGGTTTTCTGTATTTATTTATTTTTAAAAGGCTGGCATAATGCTCAATTCCATTGGCTATGCAGTTTTTGAAAGTGCATGCCATCATTAGAATCAATATTTTGGCTTCATTGTGAGCGGAATTATGTCTGTGGGCCCATGGTACAAATTTATTACTGCAATTTGGGGTTTTTTTGAGTCCTAGTCTGATTATATCTATTATTCTTTCTGACAGACACTGGAATGAACCAATGTTGGATGAAGCTTGCAGACTGGTTCTTAAAGAAATTGCTCTTCCAGGCTTAGTCAGTGGTGAAAAAGTAAACTACAAGAAAACTTTGATAGTCAGTTTATTCTACAGATTTTTCTTGGAAGTACTGCAGTCACTGAAGAAAATGGTAAATTAGTTCTCCATGTCTGCTTTTGTGCAAGCAAATGAAAGTGATTTGGTTTTTTCTTTTTTTCTGTTGATGCTTGTGATTTGTACAATGTCCTGAATACTGTCTTTGGGGTTCAAATCTACAGAAGGACATAAGCGCTCAGCTCCCAAAGAGATTGATGGAGAGATGCCCATTTAACTTTTAGGTGCTCAGATATCTTTACCTTGGACATAAGGCTTTAAAAAAAATTGAGCCATGTTAGTGCAATGGTATATCACTGTTGAGCTCCCAGGCCCAAAGAAAACATACATGAGGTCTTACTTCATCTGCCTGTAGTTCAAAACAGAAGTAGAATAGAAATAAAGGCTTTGGAAAGCAACTGTAGGTGTTAAACCAACCCTCCTTGTGTGAGTTGTAGCCTGGGAGAGGAAGACTCTAAAATTTCACTTCCCAACACGTTCTAAGTGTAATTTACTTATTTGTGTCTTAAATCTGTTCTTATGAGGAAAACATACCTTTTGCCCTTTTCTTCTGTGTTACCTTGAATTCTTTCCTTTGAATTACTATTACTAGGTAATTTACTATTACCATGAATGAGTCTGTGCCAGTTCTGATCAGACCACTGTTCTGATGACTATCCCTGCTTTATGTTGCTTACTTTAAACAAGCATATTCATTGAATCCAATATATTTTAAAATATTATATAGTGAAATCTCAAAACTAGATTGTTTTAAAATCGAGGGATTTTAGAGCCTTTTTAGCTTGTGAGAGTCTTGGATGAATTTCCTGCATAAAGAGTTTGTATTTGGTGATTTTTTTTGTTGTTAGTTTTTTTAATTTGAATGTTTAAGGTGCGAGTTTAGTAGTAATGCACTTCCTTTTCAGGATCCTTGCCACTATCCTGGCATACCTATGGAATATATGAGTGTACTACAAGATTTCCAGACCAAAATGCCCCTCAGTATCCAAATATACCAGGCAAGTGATTTTATTCTAAGATTATTCTGCGCTTTATAAGACTTGGTAAAAAGTCACAGTTCAAGCATGACCCTTGCTTTGAAGCTGGTACAAATTTTCCAAAGGATTGAAGGCCTTTAGTGGTTGATTTTAACTGTATCTCAATTAGAAAAACCTTGTCTATTAAAGTAGACTCATACGGGTATGCTCACTTCTTCTAAACAGTTCTAAAAAGATAAATATGCTGAACAAACTCCAGAGCTGTCAGACAGCTTAAACTTGATATATTGCAGTGTGCAACTCCATTGGAAAAAAAAAATTAGAGGAAAATAAAAAAGATAGCAAAACCCAAGTCTATAGCTATCACTATTAGATTCTTGTCTCAAGATACACTCTTAAGATCTCAGAGGTCTTTTAGGTCTTGCTGGGAGTTCAGGAATCAGAATGGAGTTTGTGATGGCTAGCTCATCAAATTACCAAGAGTATTGAAGGAGAAGTCAGCAGTAGAGGGCAGCAAAGAACACCTTTTGAATTTTCTGAGCTCACCCTTGTGACTAGATCATGGTGGGAACTCCTGCAAGGATTTTTGATATTTTGGTACCCTCGATACACAATTAAAAATCTCAAGTTTTTGAAAACCTAAAGAAAATTCAACTGAAATCTAGGTAAATGGGTTTTTTTTTCATTTCCAGGTATTCTTTAGAATAATATTTAGCTTTAAATATTTAAATTTAAGTCATTATCTTCAGCTTCCTTCAGACTTACCATTAAAAAAATAAATAAATACTACAGACTTGTAAAAGGGGCCAGGATCAAAGGAACTAGTTCTTTATGTCTTTTGGCAATTTATTCCCCAGTTGCAAGAAAGTGACTAAACAACAGAAATGGAAACAACTTGTTATTCAGATCAGTTGGCACTGGGGAACAGAAATTATTTAGAAACCGAGAAAATCTGTTTTTTTCACTTTTGAATTTCTATGTAACTTTTGCAAGTCCCTATCTTTTGTCTGGAGTTCTTCATCTGAACATTATTAAGCTTTTAAAATTAAGGGGAGAAAAAAAAATGCATATCCTGAAAGATAAATACATGGTCATTCTGTTAGTGGAAAAGTTAGGGTGGTTTGACTGAGACAGCTATTTGAGGAACTTTAGGCAGTTAAGTGAAAACGTCTGTTCTTGGCCTTGGGAGTGTGCCAGAATGTGCAGGAGGTAGAAATGTGTAGCTGAAACACTTGTGTGCTGGCAGCTATAGAAGAAAAAGGTTCTGAGATGTAAGCAATTAACTAGTTCTAAATGTAGAAAAGGAAAAAGCTAGTGTGAACACTGACCCAGAAATTGGAAAAATGTTCTGGAAGTTGGCAGGAATTAGTTGGTGTGGCAGAATTAACTGGTAACACTGAATTAACTTTCAGGAAAGACTTAGCAAAATAAAGTTAAGGTGTTAAATTCATACACAGGTGCAAGGAAATAAAATTGGGAAGGGAATGTTTAAACAGTGTTTTCTTATTGATTTAGATTGATCAGTTGCAATCTTTCAGCAAGGAAGATAAATCCTAGGACTCACTGCAAACAGCTCAAAGTACACCACCAGACACTGGCAAAATAAAGAGCAGAATCTTGTGAGACTAATTTAGAAATTATCAGAGCTTCATGACACCAATGAATAAGGGAGGAGACTGTCCTTCTGAAAAGGGATGACTGTGTCGCTTTGCTGTAGACAGTTAAGGAAAAAAATCCAAGTTAGAAACACCTGTGCAAGATTCTCAGAAGGCTCTTCAAGAGAAGAATTTGAAGAAATGCCCAGGAGCAGCAGTCAGGTCCTGCATCCACATCTGTTTTCAATATTGAACCAGATGATGATAATATGAGCAGTTGTTCCTTCATCTGATTTTCTGATTACTGTAAAACTAACATGACTATTCCTTTTAATTTTTCGGGGTTTTTGGGAATTGTTTGTTTTTGACAGTACAGGACATAGAGCCAAGTCAGTCTCCCCAGGATCCCGTAGGACAGCCCATTATGCACCAGTCTGGAATTAAGCATGCCACTGGTGAAGCAGTTTACATTGATGACCTTCCTCCTGTGGATGGAGAGCTCTTCCTGGCTGTCATCACTAGTTCCAGAGCTCATGCTAAGATTGTGTAAGTGTTGAAAGTGTATCAGAAGAAAGTGTTGTTATGAATTGCTGTCTGAGGTTTTTAGAGCAGACTAATGAAATATGTGTATACAGAACAGTATTCCTGGTTCCCACGCTGGCTCAGGTGCTGGAAGCAATCATGTTGCTGTAGTTAGAAGGCTCTGTTTGGATTTAAGCATCTCACTCCATATTACTGAACTAATAAGATCAAACTGTGCTTGTTCCACGAGCCAGCCTAGAGCTAGCCTAAGTACCTTCACAAAGAGCTGAGCTGTGCTGTGCAAGCAGGCACCAACATAGTTTTGAAATCTCAGCTCTATTATGAAAAAATGAATTTTTTCAAAATGTAGGAAATAGTGTTGTAATGTGGCACCTACAAGGTAGCAAAGCTCTTATGAGGCCTTAGAGGTAGAGGAAGATGAGAAGAGGATTTCATTTTGAAAGAAAACTGTTTTCACTTATGTTTTTATACTGCCAAGATACGCCTGTTCTAGGAGTTTGTTCAACATTCAAGCACCAGAATACATATATCCAAGTTATCTGCCAAGCATTGAGGCACCAAGACATGTAGTCTGGTCAGGATTAATTGTGATGACAGAGAGGACTGGAGCTGCTAGCTATAGAGTCCTTGTCATATTTCCTGGCTTATGCTTAGGTTGATGATAGTACGCTGGGTTTGGATGTACTCTTCTTGGTACCATCAAGAAGTTGACATCACCCGCATCTCTGTGAGTCATTAGGATTTATTCAGTCTACTTTGTCTTCTGATCTTGCATGTCCAGAGAAGATATCTGTAGATGTGCTGATACCTTGATGACCTGCTAAACGAGGTGTTATCAAAGCATGCCATTCTTATAGACCTTCTGCCATGCTTTCTGATCCATCTACACCTATTCATTCCTACTCATTCTCCATTTTTACTGGTCTTGCCATTTCTATTACAGTTCTTTACATGAACTCTCCGTTTGTAGATGCTTATTTGTATCAATTTTATATCTTTGTAGACTGTGAGGTCTTAGAAAGTTGCAATTGTAGCATAATAGTGCAGTTGATATAATTATTAAATCAATGGACTTCAGGCAGTCTAATGGGTAATGATTTCCCTGACATCTAGAGTATTTCCTAGAAGTGAAGCAGGTTAGTAGAATGTTAAATTGCCTTTGACTTGCACTTCTTTGCATGCCAGAGATAGAAGGAAAAGACGTGTCTGAACCTATGAGCAGATCCTGGCAGCATAAGAAACATAGAGCTGTTTTGTGTTCCCTTACTCTGTGCAATGCTTTATAAAAGTAATGAATTACACTTCTCTTTTCCCATATCCAAATCAGATCTATAGATGCCTCAGAGGCTCTAAAAGGACCAGGAGTGTTTGATATCATAACAGCTCATGATGTACCAGCTGCAAACGAGTTTTACTACTCTGATGATCCAGAGATTATATTTGCAAGAAACAAGGTATAGCTACAGTCTTTTTTAAAATGGTTTTCTTATTTTTTACTGTTTTTCTTCAGATACTTATAATGAAATTTTACTTGCTGACTCTTGAGTGTCTATTTTATGTACGTTAGAGAATCACTTTAGGCATATAATAGGGTAAATTTTTACCATTTTTCCCCCACTCCCTTTTCAACTTCAAAATAGTTGATGTGCATTATATTCTGCCTAAAGAAAAATATATGAATCAGAAGAATACAGATTAAACCTCACAAAGCCATCTGAGTTGTTGGAAGAGTGTATTTAATTGAAAGTTAGGCTCCCAAATCCCTTATCCATTTTTAAATACTGTATTTTCCTTGATTCCTCATTTAGCTGGTATTTCTATTATTTTTTTAGCTTCATGGATAATCTAAAAAATACCGAGATCCTAAGTCAATACAAAATTGTAAAAAGTAAACATGAATAGTGGTTACATGAAAGAACAATATCAGCAGCACATATGGGAGTAATTTGAATCCACTGTTCTGTTAAGTGATGTGTGTTTTACAGGTGATTTGTGTGGGTCAGATTGTCTGTGCTGTGGTTGCGGACTCAGATGCTCATGCCAAACAAGCAGCTGCAAAAGTGAAGATAGAGTATGAAATGCTGGAACCAGTGATCTTAACAATTGAGGTAATAATAATGTCTTTTATCTTCCTTTTTTATTGTTTTACCTATATAATTAATGAAAGAAGCAGTTCACACTTGCCTTTAAACATGATTTTCTAAGGAAACAAGATTCATATGAACATACAATTAACCAGTCTGTCACTCTCTATAAATAACTAATATAAATTTAATTTAAGTATAAATTAATAATTTTGATATTTTTGACCACTTGTGATAGATAGGCAACAGTCTCAAAGGTTCTAATGTCCCACATGTTTCATAATAATAAACATAAAAATACAGAAGAAGAATTCTTTTAATGTTTCCAGTGAGGAAAAGGCAGTGAGGATGCTGGTTGTTTTATAATTCTTTTGATAGCTACCAGCTGATCAATCAGCATGTGTGTATTGGCTGGTCTTCTGTCTGCATTTCGTGTCTGTTGTCAGGCTAGCAAGCCAACAAAGTTGGTCTGGAGACATAGGAAGTGCTGGGGGAATAGGAGAGGAAAGATATTAGGGATATAGCACATTTTAGAAATGTGATGTGAAAGTCAAAGGGCAAATGGATTTACGCTGTGCTAATGACATGAGTGGAAGTAAGGAACAAAGGACACATTTGCAGGAAACTACCGTTAGTTCTGGTAGTCACTTCACAGCTTTTTTTCATAGTGCACAGGGGGTATAACAAAACAGGCTTTCTAGTATAAAAAGAGAAGTAATCTATTTTTAAAGACTGGGAAATTTTACTAATGTTTCATTACAGTTGAAACTCCAATAAAATCTTACTAGAAATAAAGAAAATCATACGTAAAATATAGATTCCACTTTTACTTAGTCCTTGTGATTTCTTCCCCTCTTAATGGCATCACTCTTTGGATGATGTGGTTGCATTCTTATCCTGTGCTCTCTTGGTCATTTGATAGATGTATGAGAGGGAAGAGCAGGTTGAATAAACTGAATGCATTTCCTTCAGAAACAGCTATCGTCGGTAACACAAGATACACCAGGAAAGAACTGCTGGAACTGAATACACAGACTCATCAACAGTGACAGTAAAGTGATGAAATACAATTGTTCATTGACTTTGGTAGCTAGTGGTTCAAATTTCTGAAGAGAATGACTTTTCTCCTGAGAGTAAAATGCCACAACAAACTGAGAATCTTTAAAATACTTTAAAAAACTATTTCTCTTTCTCCACTGCAGGAAGCTATAAAGCACAACTCGTTCTTTGAGCCAAAAAGAAAATTAGAACAAGGAAATGTTGATCAGGCATTTGAAACTGTTGATAATATAATTGAAGGTAAACTGCAGAATACATGTGGTGAGAAGTTCTTGTCAGTATTTGGGTCTGTCTCTCTGTTCTTCAAGTCCTGGTTCTACCATTTTTTTTCCATATAGCTATTAGGCCTGAGAAAGCTCTTGGTCACCTGAAAGAAAGTGTGATTAAACCTAGTGGTCTTGTGATCCTGCTACTACATTCAGTCTTTCTGCATCCTCTGTCCTCGAAACAAAATCACAGAATAATTAGGTTGGAAGGAGGTCATCTAGTCCAACCTCCAGCTTAAAACAGCTCTAGTTAGGGTAGGTTACTAAGGGCCACATCAAGTCAGGTTTTGAGTATCTCCAAAGACAGATTGCGCAACCTCTATGGACACCTCTTCCAATGTTTGACCACCTTCGTGGTGTTTTTTTTTTTCTTATATCAAGTTGGAATTTCATATTTTTGCCTCTTATCTTTCCACTGTGCATCTCTTGAGAACAATCTGACTTGCTCTTCTCTACACCGTCCGATTAGGTAGCTGTAGAGTGCCATAAAATCTCCTGTTAACCCTTTTCTACTTATGGATGAGTAAATCCAGTTCTCTCAGCCTCTTCTAATACATCTTGTAGTCCAACCCACTGACCATCTTGGTGGCCTTCTTCTGGACCTGGTCCAGTATATCCATGCTTTGTTTAATTTAACTATGTTTTATTTTATGTTGTCACCACTTGTAGGCAATATTGTTCTGCTTTTAGTCAAGTTCTGTTGTTGCCACTGGAACAAGACCAATTTAATCCTGCAAGGAGTTTCATCTGTGTTTTTATTTTAGATGTTGCTTCTTCGTACAAGAAGCATCAGAAGATTTGGCATTGATTATCATCATTTACATGATGATAGTTCATTCTTTCCTGGTTCATTTCTTCTGTCCTTTTCCGTCAGTAACAATTGTTTTCCTCTTTTGATCAGGGGAGATTCACATTGGGGGACAGGAACACTTTTACATGGAGACTCAGAGTGTGCTGGCTGTTCCAAAAGGAGAGGATAAAGAAATGGACGTGTATGTGTCAACACAGCATCCAGCAATTATTCAGGTAATACAGAGCGCTTGCAGAGAAAGATGTTGAACCTGTGACAATAAGAGCTTTTAAAGTTTGATTTTCAAATCCTTCTTAACAGTTTAGAAGCAGTAGGAATGTTAAATTACACATCTGGATTATTCAACAACAGCTGCTTTGTAGTACTGCTGTATCCTGATAAACAGTGACCCCTGTGCTGTGAGGATAAGGAGGAAATAAAGGTCTCTTATTTCCCTTCGAACAAAGTACCTCGTGCCTGTATTGTGAAAAACTCCCTGTGGAGTGCCCAGGCCCCTCCATCCTCATTAGCTTTCCGTTGAGGTAAGGAGCAATTAGCACCCTCCAGAGTCAGTCTGCTAAGGTTTTGATCAACTCTAATAGTAGGTGAGACTGCTGCTCCATGCCAAAATCATAATCTTAATGGTTTGGGTTTGAAGGAACCTTTAAAGATCATCTAACCCAACCCCCCCTGCCATAGACAGAGTTATCTTTCACTAAATCAAGTTTCTTAAAAGCCCTATCCAACCTGACCTTGAATGTTTCCAATGATGGGGCATCCACAATTTCTTTGGGCAACCTGTTCCAGTGTCTTACCACCCGCATTGTAAAAAATATCTTTCAGTTTAAAACCATTGCCCTTTGTCCTGTCAGTGCAGACCGTCATAAAAAGTCTTTCTCTGTTTCTTATAAGCCACCTTTATATATTGAAAGGCCACAGTAAATTCTCCCTGGATCCTTCTCTTCTCCAGGCTGAACAGATCCAACTCTCTCAGTCTTTCTTTATAATCTGATGATTTCCATGACAGCAGATGATAATGCAAACACTCACATAACATATGGTCTGCATGGCAATAGCTATGGTGCATGAAACTGATAGTATTTCAGACTCAACACTGGCATTTTGTATTCAAAGTCCAGTTCAGCTCCTTTTATAATTTCCATTATTATTATTATATTGCCAGGAGCCAAGAAGCATGAAGAACTTAGTGTCTGAGAAAATTATTTGAAGCAAGAATATTTCTGCAAGAATATTTCTAGCAAGAGCTTAAATTATTAAAAAAAAATTTAAATTAAATATTAAAATAAAATTTATTAACTCAGTAATAAAAATAATTAAAACTGTATTCTAATCCCTTTTTCTTATACATGAAGCTTCTTACTTTTTAGATAATGAAATCCAAGGATATTATTCTTCACTTCTGTCTATGGCCCTTTCAGTCTCTATGGTAGGGATTTTAAATGTGAACACTGCTGAATGTTTGTTGTTATCTTGTTCTTGCTTTTTAACCTGGAGTAAAGGAAAAATTACTTTAATCTCATTTTAAAAACAAGCAAAAAACCAAACAAAAACCCCACAAACAAACTAGAAACATCTATGGAACCCTTTTATAGAAAAGGTTTTTATTTCGGAACCTAACTTTTAGGCTTAGTTTCAGATGGTATAAAAGATGAAAAACTGTTTTTACAGGAGGTGGTAGCTGCAAGTTTAGGCGTTCCAGCCAACAGGATTATGTGCCATGTTAAACGAGTTGGTGGAGCTTTTGGTGGGAAACTCCTGAAAGCTGGCTTACTGGCATCAGTTGCTGCAGTGGCAGCAAACAAGTAAGTGCAGGATGTATGTATTGGGACACGAAGATAAAAGGATGTGAACAAGTTTTGCATTTTACCTAAAACACTTTCTCCTTTCCCAGAGTTGCTAGCCAAAAAGTCAGAATCCTGACTGTTCATATTTTCTAAGACTGTTCAGTGCATTTCATTGTTTTGTATTGTTAGGCTGCTTATGTTAAGCAGCTCTAGCCTCAACTAAATGGGACTTCAAGAAATTGGTATTTGCATAAGCTAGAAATATTCTTGAAATGATTGAGCATTTCAAAAGGACCAGTCCCTAATTACTGAGGCTTTGTGTGTACATTCAAACCATGACATCAACCATACAGATTTGAACTTCACTGACACAGCAGGATGCATAAGGAAGAGTTAATGACCATGTTATCTGTGTTTTGGATAGTAAAAAACATTTTTATATAGTTTAAACCATTTTTTTGTTGTTAGGACCTTATTTTACATCTTATGTCCATTTCATGGTACATGAAATCTGTGGACAAATTTTCGTATTTTTATTATGCATGTTTTGTTTTTATTCAAAAGCATCCTATTTCAGTATGAATCTAAATAGCTAAAAGATCGCTATTTCTTGCTTAAGGTTATATGCTAACTGCTGTTAGCTCACTTAGCACAGGTCAGTCTTAACACTGAAATAACAATTTCCTCAGAAGAATTTCACACTGAGTTATCTCATTGGCTTTCAAGAGGTGAAATGAAAATTCTGAGATGATTGTAAATGCAAGAAAAAAAAAAGGAACTCAGGACCTAGCTTTAAGCATATATTTAATCTTATTAAAATTAAGTTTAATCTAAATGCATGTTTATATGCATGGTTAGATCTGAATACATGATGAATGGCCATTTTGTTAATAACATCTCTTATTTTGACTGAAATTTTACTTTTCTTTTGTTTACTTAGAACCAACAGAGCAGTCCGTCTTATTCTGAGCCGTGGGGATGATATGTTAATCACTGGTGGTCGACATCCTTTTATTGGTAAATATAAAGTGAGTGCCACAAGAATTCAGTGAAAAAATACCTGCCTGTATTCTGTGAATAAATATTTCAGTGTTAGTGGTTAATATTTGTTCTATTAATGGAAATGAGTATAATCAATCCAATTTTAAAACAAAACTACTACCCAGGAAACCAAGAGATGAAGTTGCTGTACAGCCCTTTCTCTGCTTCTGCCTCTGTCTCTGCAGGGTTCTGCATTTTGGGTTTGGGTTGTTGTTGGTTTTTTTCCCCCTAGTTTCTTCATGTCATTTTCCTTTTATAGCTCTTTCTGTTTTTCTGGGAACAGAAACTAGCCAAACTAGCTCAAAATTCTTTTGCAGAGGTTTATTTTAAATTGTCCATATGGTTAGGTTCACACAAAGGACCAGCTAGTTGTTCAGAGAAACAGTGTCATACAGGAAAACTCACCCTGTGGAGGAAATTAATCTCTTCCCTGCTCATGCACTGTCATCAGCCACTATTCATTTGGACAGTTTCTGCTTGCTTTTCTATCTCTACTACATAGGTAAAGCAAGACAGGTTTTACTAGATGGTTTCCTAAAGCTGAAAATGAGCTGTAGCTCATATTCAGGCACTATTAGTGGCAACAGGTGAAAAGCGAGATGTGAGATAAAGATAACATTTCTTCATTAAGAAATACAAATGTCATACTCCATTTGCCAGACACTATACTTACAGTCAGAGTGTGATTTGACTTTGTCTACAGTGAACATTCCAAGACAATGTACTTATAAGCCAGGTCAGGCAATACACAGGAAGCCACTGGGGTTCCCTGCTGCTTCCTTTCCTAATAGGCTGATATTGCCTGTTATATGCTGTACCTATACAGATTACAGATACCAGGTGAGAAAGCCAGTATCTTAGGAGCATACTTTCTTTCGCTGTTGCCCTTCTCCAGTTTCAGTGAATGCTGCCCAGAAATTAATAGCTCAGTATCACTCTTAATTGTGTGGGTTACATTCATTTTCAAAATATACAAGCTCTGAAGAAATGAACGAATGCCAAAATCTAAATAGATTATTGTTGATCCTTCTAGGTTGGTTTCATGAATGATGGTAGGATCAGAGCTGTGGATGCTAAATATTACGTTAATGCAGGATGCACCCCTGATGAATCTGTCTTGGTAAGGATTTTATAAGCTGACAAATCTTATAACATGGAGGAATGATTAGCTGAAAAATTCCCTTGCATTTGTTTTGTTAATCTTATAGCCTTTTGATGCAGGGACTGAGGGTTGTTGGAAAATCTGCACCTAGTAGTTTCTTCCTTACTCAGTTCAGTGAAGCTTTTTGGTATTTTCCTATGCATTCACTTTATGAGTGGATGCTCAGGCTTCTTTTTCCAATATAAACATGTCTTTTAACAGTGTGTTTCTTTAAAAATGCGTATTATAACTTTATATTTCCTAAGTGAAAAGGAAGCATTATATGATATTATTGATATGCACAGTTATTACAGCAAGACTATCTTGAGTGGTTTTCTATGCAGAAATGTACAGTGATTGTTTTAAGTTCAGTGGGAACAGTAGGAATACAGGCTTAAATTTGCTGTTCTGAGATGCCTTCATGAGGCATCTAAACATCTTTGAAAATTATTTATTTTGATACTGACTCCTAGAACCTAATTTGAGGTATCTAATATGGGATTTTCTTTTTCTTGTCTTTTTGTGTTTGTCATGTAAAATCTCTAAAGGAAAAAAAAACAAAGAACCAGAAGACACTGTAGATTGCAGTACACATGCTTTCTGCTGAAACTAAACCTTAACTGTGAATTTCCATAGAACATGATAGTTCAGAATGCTTTCATCAGTTCCTTTCATAGTTCCTATTGCTTTAAATCTAGTCTCTCTAGTTTTAGTTCTGTGTGGCTTTTGATACTGAAGTAGGAGCAAAATCAATTGTAAAATGAAGTATCCGTTACATCCTTAACTACTGACCAGTAGTAACATCAGCTGTGTTCTGTGAATATCAAAAAAAGAACTGAAAACTAACACGCTGCGTGAGAAATGTATTAATAAAGTCTGTATATGTGCATTAGAGTATTCTTATTACCAGTGGTTGATGGAAACCCCATTTTAAAGCTAATTGTCATAAATTAAGGTCTTCATATGAGATGAGTAGGATTTAAATGTGAATTTGAAAGATGCACTGTTCTGACATTTTCCTATACCTATTTGTCCCCTACCTCAGGTAGCAGAAGTAGCCTTATTAAAAATGGACAATGCATACAAGATTCCCAACTTGAGGTGCTGGGCTTGTGCCTGCAAAACAAACTTGCCATCAAACACAGCATTCCGAGGGTTTGGCTTTCCCCAGTCAGCACTGGTGACAGAAACCTGGATAACAGAAGTTGCAGATAAAACCGGCTTATCACCTGAAAAGGTGATGAAATGAAAGTGTCTTCTCTCCTGAAATGAAGTCTACGTAGTTAGAAAGTTAAAATTCTTTAGATTAGCTCAATTGTTTGAACAGATCTTTTCCAAGTCAAACATAATATGTGCCAATATTTTTTTGTTTTAATTAATGTCTGGTTGTTGAATGAATAGTATGCCCTTACAAACTGAACCAAAGTGGTCATTGTTGAAAAAAATATGGTAATCTTCTTGTTGTTTACTAGTCCCCCCAGTTGGTAAGTGTGCCTTTAAGAGGATTGTGTGATAGCTATTCATTTTACTGTTTCAGATTAGGGAAATAAATATGTACAAGGAGAACGAGCAGACACACTTCAAACAAAAGTTTGATGCACAGAACTTAATACGGTGTTGGAATGAATGTCTGAAGAAATCAGCATATTACAGTAGGAAAACAGCTGTCAATGAATTTAACAAACAAAATTACTGGAAGAAAAAAGGGATTGCCATTGTACCAATGAAGTTTCCATTTGGACTAGGCACACGTTATCTTTCTCAGGTTAGTTTCTTTAAAGAATAAGTGAGCTAAGCTTTTTATCCTTAGAAGATTACAGTTACTGTACCTTAGGATACAGAACAAACACTATCTTTTAAACTTCTGGAAAGCTGCCATTCTCCTATTGGTTGTTCCCTGAAAACTACACTAGCTTCTAGCTCTCTTCAAGCTGGAATCAAAGTTGCTTGGGTTTTCAGGACCAAGGCAGCTTGGACCCTTCCTACTTAAAGGCCAGTCCCTTCTTCTGTGATGTGGTATTGGTATAGATGAGTTGAATACTGTTACGAAAAGTTCTTTGGGACTGATGACAACATGTTCATTGGGTAAGTTACCCATTCTAGAAATAGCTCTGAACTTATTCCTTCTCACCATGGGGTACTGTGGAATGCTGTTCTTAAAGACTTAACCTTTGTTGTCATCAAGGGCTAAGTTTAAGGAGGAAAAGGGGAGTAGTATTTTTGGTCTTTGTATTTTATTTAATGTAGGTGTCCAGTGCTTCTGGAATAGACAGCATTTAATAAATTGAAAATTAATGGACTGGCTTGTATCATACCAAACTGGCTGTCTCTGTTCAAGACTAAAGTCACAGGGCTTTTGTAGTCTACAGTGCTACCTCCAACTGAGTCCAGGAGGAAGATCTCATTCAGAGCCTTCCTGCTGTGTCTAATGCTGACAGCCTGCCCAACCTGTGCTGTTGAAAAAGCTATTTATACAGGCTCTCAAACATAGTGAGAGAGAAATTGGAACTTGGAGGAATTTGCATGTGCAAATCACTCCCACACTAGTGAGGTCCTCTAGCTTCTTTTGGAACCATTGAGATACTGTTGCCAGGTGTAGACTTATTTCAGGATCTAGCAACAGAAAAAGCAAATCGCCAAGGATTTGTACCTTATTCTTCTGAAGCTGGTTATAGAGGAAGAGACTAGCATTCCAAATTTTGCCTTCTATTCAAAAACATTAACCAGATAAATTGAAATACACTTCAAAACTGTGTCTGTCTCTTTTGATTCAATTCATCACCATATACAACACATTTCTCACTAGTCTAATACCAATTTTGTTTTTCTTCTTTTAGGCTGCTGCTCTGGTTCATATTTATACTGATGGGTCTGTGCTTCTGACACATGGTGGAATTGAAATGGGGCAGGGTATTCATACAAAAATGATCCAGGTAACAAATTATCCAAACAAATACTACCTTGTGTTTTATCTGTCATGCAGATAAAACACTGGGAAGGTTTTCTTTTTGGTTGGTTGGTGTACCAGTAGGACAGTTTCTTTAGCAGCATAGTCACTGGTGTCTTTTGCATTGAGTTAGAAAGCAAAGATACCTTCATTAGGAGACATAGAGACACCAAGAGTTAAAAACAGATTGATTGGTTTCTATTCTTACAATGGTATGTGAAGAGGCTTATTAGAAATAAGTTTTTTGAGAAGCTGATCCCATAAAACCAATGGTAAAAAAAGACTGTCAGTATTCAGATTAGTATGCAGTCCAGACAATATTATTATGATAATATTTGTTTAATGAATAATTGAGACCCAGATCTTTAAAGATATTTATCAAGTGGATGAAAGCTTGGGATCTGGGCCTGCACAGTTTGCACTAAGTCATACAGGATATAAGCAGCACAATCAGGAACCAAATCTTGGACTCTAGTTTCAGTCCAGAGTTTGTGTACAATTAAAACATTGCCCTTCTTTTCTGTTTCTTTGTACTGACGAATTGGGAAGAATAATTTCAGCTGGAGGTTGGAACACTTGCTAAAACTTTCTTTCCTGGTATTGCTGACTTCTAGCAAGTACTGGGGGAACTGCTGGTGTATTTAGAATGTTCCTAAAAGAGAAGAATATGTTCTTCCTGAAACAGGTTGCTAGTCGGGAATTGAACATCCCCATGTCATGTATTCACTTCCGTGAAACAAGCACAACAACTGTTCCCAATGCATGTGCCTCAGTAGGATCTGCAGGGACAGATGTCAATGGCATGGCTGTGAAGGTAAGGAGTAGTATTTATTTTTAAAAAACACTCTATCCTTTGTGGTATCTAATCCCATAAATAGTAAAGTTTGAGATTATCAATAACTACTGGGGTGATCTGAGCTTTCTCCAAAAGGCTTATGTTTGACAAAATCCTTGTTTCATCTAATTTACTAGTCCCATACAAATCTTGTTCCTGTTCCTGTTGTAAATCTACAAGTTCCTGCAGATTCCAGTGCTTTTAACTCAACCCCTTATAAGGTTTGTGTCTGTGCAGTTAAAATGCCACCTCCTATCACACTTTTTCAAACCAAGATGACAGTAAAGCATATACTAATTAAGTACTAACTAGAAATATCTCGAATAGTACCAAACTTATCTGTTTTTATTTTGTATTATATTCTCCTAACTGCTCACCAGGATGCTTGCCAAACTCTTCTGAAACGCCTACAGCCTATCATCAGGAAGAACCCAAAAGGGACCTGGAATGATTGGGTAAGACATGTGAATCCTACTAAAAGTGTTTGTATGCATGCAGGAGCTGTGATATATGTATTGCAGTCTATCAGTCTGCTCAGCATAATAATCCTAAAGTTAAAAAGCGTAGAAATAGGTTATTTCGCAGAAAGATGGAGTGAAGAGGCTTGGTTTCAATATGTGGGAAACCACCCCCAGATCATACCTAGTTGGAAAAGAGGGGAAGCTATCTGTGAAGTCACATTTGGAGGCACAGAAGTTTTTAATATACAAAAAATATCAACTTGTGCAATAACATGACCCACCCCAGCTTACCCTCTGACATGTTGTTTTGCCAAAAGATTGTCAGGATATATGTGTACAGTTTCATTTGCAGTGTATTACAGAACTGCAAAAAAGGTGACAGGAATCCTCGCTCCCATTGCTCTAATATGTAATTAGTTACAATTTTAGTTACATTTGCAGTAGAGTAGCACAGAAGTAGTACTGAAGTTTTTTATGGAAATGGCCCCTGTTTAGTGCCCACTTGAAACTGGAGCAGCATTTTAGGGCTAGTAACTGAATTTTCTTAACTAAAGGCTTTCTGCTATAATATCAACTATTCTTATGAAGATTCTATTCTTATGGCTGATAATCTAGTCCTATGTATTGAGATGTTGAAAGAAAACGTGTTTGTTATGTCTTCTCATCCAGTAGTGCTTTTTATCTGCGGCCTAATGAAAAGGATAATCCCTGCATGGAGACATTTACAAATCCAGTACATTAGGGTGTTTCTTCTCAAGTGATTAAATACTATAATAACTGTGAAAATGTAAACACTTTCTTGGCAGTAGTAATCCCTAGCAATAGCAAATAATGTTGGAATACCTGTGGTAGCTTGATATGCATGCAAAGATAATCTCTAATAGGTGTCAAATTAATTTGGATAATTCAGACACACCCAAAATATTAGCAGAAATGGCTGACCTAGGAAAGAATGTTAATATATGCGAAGAAGTAAGAAGTAATCTTACAACTTGCAAAGTCAGTAATTTATAATTAATTAAAAATTTTAAAAAATCTTGTCTTGTAAACTGAGTAAATCTGAGTAAATTAGTTCTACAGTATTAGGCACCGTATGCAGATACGTTCACTTACCTCGACTGGTCTTCCTTTCTTTATGATTTGCTACAGTTTGGGTTTTAAGTAAAGATATGTAAATAAGTAAATATATGTATACTGTGTTCCTTCCTAATGCCTTCCTTGGTTTACCACAAACACTGCTGTATTTTACAGATTAAAGAAGCTTTTGAACAGAGTGTGAGTCTTTCAGCTACTGGCTACTTTAGGTAATACAATTTTGTTCCTTAAAAATGCAAACATTAGACCAGGACTGATTTCTGAAGATAACCGATGACATATGTAGAAGATCCTGTCCAATAGCTCTTTCTAATGGCTCAGCTTATGTTTTATGTAATTCTTTGATATATGGGAGATGGAAGTACAAAGTTTAAGTGGTAATTTATGCCCAGCCCTGCATGGACTCTCTAGAAATTATCAAAAGAATATTTTGTTGCGTCTTTGCTTCATGATTTGGCCATTAGCAAACCAGAAAGCATCATGAAAGCTACTGCTACCCATAACAGTATGTGTGCAAAGTGGGATATAGTTTATTTACTGGAGACTGCTTTGCTATAAGCTATAAATGTTGTTGTACTACAGATTATTTACACTTATCCACAAACACGATCACACCTAAGTTGCATGATAGGGCATTTAGGGCTACAAAGATGATCAAGGGAGTGGAGCATCTCCCTTATGAGGAGCGGCTGAGGGAGCTGGGTCTCTTTAGTTTGCAGAAGAGGAGACTGAGGGGAGACCTCATTCATGTTTATAAATATTTAAAGGGTGAGTGTCACGAGGATGGAGCCAGGCTCTTCTCGGTGACAAACAATGATAGGACAAGGGGTAATGGGCACAAGCTGGAACACAGGAGGTTCCACTTAAATTTGAGAAGAAACTTCTTCTCAGTGAGGGTGCCAGAGCACTGGACCAGGCTGCCCAGAGAGGTTGTGGAGTCTCCTTCTCTGGAGACATTCAAAACCCGCCTGGACGCCTTCCTGTGCAACCTCATCTAGGTGTTCCTGCTCCGGCAGGGGGATTGGACTAGATGATCTTTTGAGGTCCCTTCCAATCCCTAACGTTCTGTGATTCTGTGATTCTGTGATAGGAAGAACTAGTGGCATCATTAGAATATTTATCAAGCACACACCTGTAATTAGCAGCCAGGTGCACCTGTGGAAAATTAGGCCCATTTAATTCTAGAACTGAACCTTAAGGTTATTTCTCTTTAGAGAAAGGAGAATTTAAAATGTCTGGTTGAGTTTAAAAGAAGGCTCATGGTAATTTTTTATTTTTTTAAAACTAACTCAGAAATCAGATGCCATGATTCAGTACTAATTGAAAGCTACTGAGGGGATGTAGTGCTCACATCAGAAGTGGTGTTGCTCACTGACCCTAGTTTTGGAGTCATTGTTTTGATCTCTTTGCTTCTGGAGCCCAAGAAAATTCCCACCATATATACTCTTAGATATGGACTTATTCACAACAGCATGCTGCTATAGGACACAATAATCTTAAACATAATTCCCACTGCTCTCTCTCAGTGCAGTCTCATGGTCCTTTTTCTCCAATTTCTTTCAAAGTGTTTATAAAGAAAAAGAATGGAAAAAAATCTGTGCTATAACTCAGGTGGGATTCAAAGCAAAGCTTCTCTTAGCCTGCTGTGCCTTATAGCTTCTCTTTCTCCACCTGTATTTAATTACTTGTCTGTAGGAACAGTTATTTAGGCAGTCTGGAGTCAGTTGAAGAAGCACTTCACAAACCCGTACTTATTTAAAATACTGAGAAAACCTCAAACAATATGTCCCTTCCTTCTGTTAAGTCTGTTCAAGTATGTTTTCTGCTTATGCAGTCCTTTAGGAATGTTGATATCTCCAAAGCAATAAACAACAGTCATAGTTTGCTATTGACATTTAATGGTGTCCAAAAACATCTGCTGACCCTGAGCCTCAAGTCTTGTATTGATCTAGTTCTTATCTGGTCATATTCTCTTCATCCAAGAATCTCAAAGCCAGCAGAGGTAGATGGGATGTGAGAAGTTGAATATGTGAATTTTGTGTATCCCTTTTTCAATGCACAGTTCAATGGTCTGAATTATACTATAATTGTTTTATGGGGTGTAATTTTAAATATGCTCAACAAAGATATTTCAGCCATATATGGTCAGAAAATATGTCTTGGACACATAGCTCACATGGTTGTGGGATACTTCATTTCACTGTCCTCTTGTGTCTGTTGAATTTATCCCATCAGTCCTGACTATTATAACCTCAGTTAGTCCCACTGTCTTCTAAGTAATTACACCTTTATTTCAATATTCCTGTTTTAACCTTCTCACTCATTCTGTGGACAGCTTTTGTAATTTTAACTCTCTCATTTATCTCTTGTTAATTATTCTTTCATACATCCTGGCCAGTTTTCCTCTGTTTTTTTTCTGAATTCCCTTATGTGTTATTACCGCAGCAGCCATTACCTTGAATTTCTCCTTCTGTACTTGATTACCATGTCTTTATTAGTATATCTCTGGGATTATGCTGGTTATAGACTCTCCTGGACTGAAACACCTTGCTTGTCTGCTAAATTTTATATAAATACCAGATCCATCAAACATTAACTACTAGTCCTCTGTAGGATTTCATTAAACTTAACTGCTGGGGTTCTGAGCTGTTATTTAGGATTTCAGTTGAAGCAGTTTCAAATTTTCCCATGCTCATCTGCTTTGCAAACATTCATTAATTTTGTTTTTGTGGACTCTGTTTCTTCCATCAGAGGTTACAATGAAAACATGGATTGGGAGAAAGGGGAAGGACAGCCGTTCACATATTTTCTTTATGGAGCTGCTTGTTCAGAGATTGAAATTAACTGTCTAACAGGTGATCACAAGGTAATAACTGAGTGGCATGGAAGTTTTGTAAATAATGCGGATGAGGTCTATCACTGGATGCTCATACAACCAGGTTTTGCATTAATAAGTCACCTGTGTTCACATGATAGTAAGTATATCAACACTGTAAATGCAAATTACAGGTGGAGCAGTTCCTGAAGGGGCCCTATAGGAAAGCTGAGGAGGGACTTTTTACCAGGGCATGTAGCGATAGAATGGGGGGGAATGGCTTTAAACTGGAAGAGGGTAGATTTAGACTAGACATTAGGAAGAAATTCTTTACTGTGAGGGTGGTGAGACACTGGCCCAGGTTGCCCAGGGAAGCTGTGGATGCCCCCTCCCTGGAGGTGTTCAAGGCCAGGTTGAACAGGGCTTTGGGCAACCTGGGCTAGTGGGAGGTGTCCCTGCCCATGGCAGCGGAGTTGGACTGGATGATCTTTAAAGGTCCCTTCCAACCTAAACCATTCTATGATTCTGTGATTCTGTTAAAGTTAAGACAAGCCCATTTTGCTTGTAATGGGGTATTGGAGATTACTTTGAAATCGTGTATGTGGAGGGGCTTCTATCTTAGCATATATTATTCCACTGAATACCAACTCTAACCCACATTATGTTCTAATGCCTCTTCTCCATGAATCTCTCTCAGTAATATGCATTTGAATTTTATTGACAGAACCTCAGAACAGACATTGTTATGGACATTGGATGCAGCATAAATCCAGCTGTGGATATAGGGCAGGTACGTTCCAAGAATTTCCTGCTATCTTATTTCGGTTACACTGATGGCCTTATTCTAAGTGAAGATTGCCTTATTAATTCAGAAAATGTTAGTTTCATACTAGATAATGTTCTAACTCATAGATCATATTAGAAGGTCATTTACTTGTAGATTTGCCCCATTTGAGCTTTGTAGATGTCAATGAAGCTTGAATTTTACCCATGATGTCAACCTGTAGTACTTCCTGTAACTATATATGCCCACTATCTGCTTGACTTTAATTATGTTTGTGATCTACAATCTCCAAATTCTCTTGTTGTCTCACCTGCCTTTCCCCCTGGATAGTAGAGAAACACCAGTTTTCATTGCAGGTTGGTCCACTGATCTCATCACTTTATCACGAAAGTATTTGTCTCTGCCTGGTGTGAGAGAGGGGTGTGAAAGCTTTTCTGATCATGGTAGCCCCAAAAATATTGAAGAATCTCATTAGGTAAAGAGGACAGAAAATGGTCTTCTAACAGCTAGTGATACAAATCAGTTCTTGCCAAAGTTTTACCCATTTTGCCAAACAAAAGAACATAAATGCTATTTCTTTTCTTATTTAAAGATTGAAGGTGCCTTTGTTCAAGGCATTGGACTGTACACAACAGAGGAATTAAAGTACTCTGCAGAAGGAGCTCTCTATACTCGGGGTCCAGATGAGTATAAGATCCCTGCAGTTTGTGATATTCCAGAACAGTTTAATGTTTCCCTGCTGCCATCTTCCCAAAATCCTTATGCCATCTATGCATCCAAGGTAAGCAAACCATCACAGCATCTCATTCTTAGATCTCAGGACAAACAGAGAAATTACTGTGATATAAAACATATTTAAGTTTTCGGTTTGTCCTCTTTAGCATTTCATCAGGTGTCCATAAAATTTATTTATTTACAACATCAGGGAAGCTAATATGAAAAGACATAATGTGGGATATTGCCGAATATCTTTCATGGTTGGCAAGTAGTAATTTTAGGGTTTTGCTAACAGACCATATGCAAAAGCTGCAAGTTGAATTTAAAACCATATTTTTAAAATGTGGTGATAAACTGAAGGATTAGAATAAAAATACCAAAGAAACTGATGGAGACATCATAATGGCAATGAAAATGTATAGCTTACTTATGCGTATTATGCAATAAGAAATAGGACTGTATGTGTTTATTTATATGAGAGATTGGCTCAAGTATTCAGCTGGTATAATGATTGCTTCAATTTATACCAGCAAATATTCTGGCCAGTTGCATATAAGATGTAATGGTAAATCAAGATGAAGGTAATTCTGCAAAATTCCAGTATTAGGTATGCTTTTAGAATACAGTAAAATAACACGACAGGAGGAAAAAGCTTATTTTATTGTTAAAGTTATTAAAGAACAAATATGTCCTTTAAAATTATTTAAAACTGTCTCAGTAATACATAATTAGAAAAGTACTTGTTTGAAAAAAATATAATCTAGGTGAAGTAGTTGCATAGTTGATTGGGAGCTGATCTAGGGAGCTGATAATAATACCCCTCTTCAAACAGAGCTTTTATCCTTTTCTGTGAACTTATCTCCTATAATTAACCTTAAAATTCACTATAAGAAGGTGTGATCTTGTCTTCATGCAGCATGTTTGCGGAAGACATTTGGTTCTCAAATTTTAGCAAGGAGATAAGTAAGATTCAATTGCAATATCCCAATCCAGTCCAGATTAAAATGGTCAATATCACAGCACTGAGAGGACTATGGAATAAGGGTGTATTTGAGATCTGGCACAAATGTCAGAATAAGTGAGATGATGTCGGACACCACAAGGGAATTATCATGAGTTCTGGCTTTGTTTCTTCTTGTATCTGTACCTGGTTTGGGATTGTTTTAATTTTGTCTGCCACTTATTCTAAATTTCAGTTTAGCAATGAGCTGTAAAGATTCTAAAATCAGTAGCCAATATTTGAAATCAACCTTTTAAGCTTCCTGGAAGCAGCTACCATCAAAAGACTTGGAGTGATCTAAGCTCACTTCCACTAAATCTGAAATAAAATTCCTTACTGAAAGATGAAGCCCTTTTTGAGTCACTGACTTTTAAGCTTTATAGTTGATACCGATATGGCGTGTACTCACTCAAAATCTACACCTATTCAACCTATTTGATGCCTGTTTTTTCCTTTTCAGGGGATAGGTGAGGCAGGACTTTTCTTGGGATGCTCTGTGTTCTTCGCTTTGAGAGATGCCGTAACTAGTGCACGGAATGGCAGAGGACTGAAAAAGACGTTTGCACTGAACAGCCCTCTGACAGCTGAACAAATACGGGCAAACTGCGCTGATGACTTTACTGAAATGGTAATAGGAAGGTGCGGGAAGGGTCTAAGTATCCCTGGGTAGAAGTGCACACTACTTTTGGCACCCATTAATGGTGGGGTGCCTAAGGATGTCTCCAATTGGTCATGCTTTTTATAAAGCAGTATCATATGTGTTCTTGTAATTGAAATGTCTAGTAACATTTCTCACACAAGTTATTCCAACAAACGCCATTCAACCATTGTATCGGAATTTCCCTGGTTTTGTATAATCTTTTGTTTTTCTTTGAATTTTTACAATTCCCTCTTTTCCTTAAGCCTCCTCCTTCCTTCTGTATGTCAGATCCCATAGAGGATTAAATAGCTCCTCTTATTGACATGCAATGGATCAGCCTCCAAGCATATTCAGTCTCCTTCCAGGTGCTTTCCTCCCGTGGCTTGCTGTCACCTCATTCTGGTACTCCTTGCTATGCCAAGTACTATTTGGGAGAAAAATAATTAACTCAGAGCTAACAAAAGGATACAGAAGAAAAACAGATGAGGCAATACACTTCTTATAATGCTGATCCTTTATGTTTTCTGCAGCACTTCACTGTAATCATGTTCCCACTGCTATTACAATTCTTTTTCTGTGTAAGTTTTTATTTAGCCTACAGTATCTGTGAAGCAAGGTCTTGCCAGTGCCTTGAACCTCTGAGACTCTGCCATCTTGAGCTCTCCCTCATGGACCACTCACACAGTATTTCTGTGGTCATGGTGGGGCGTCATCAGCTCCCAAATCAGTAGGCTTGTGGGCTTACTCTCATAACAGGAGCTTGAGGGAGATGAGGTCCACTAGTGCAGAGGCCGTGCTTCTCCATCCCAGTTTGGCCCTGACCCTGGCTATCATTGACCTTCCTTCCAGCCATCTTCTGTAGGTATCTCCTGTAGAACACCCTGCTTGAAGGGACCTGATAAGGGCAATATTGGGAGCTTTCTAGTCAAATAACATTAACAAGTCACTCTTTTCATTTATTGTTTTTTCTTTTAGGTGACAAACAATGAATCTGCTTCCTCTGCTCCTTGAGCTGTATCTGTGTGAATGACAAACCAAGAGTGCAAAAGACCAGAATGGAATGGAAAACTCATTTACTGCCCCAATGCACACTAACCAACACACATATAAATACATTTTCTCATTTTCAGAATAGATTCAGCTACATTACATCTTCTGTCCTTATTTTCGTTCTCCATCCAGTATATTCATTACAGTATTTGGCTTAAATTGCTCCATTTACTTGCTAGAAATAAATCTCCTGCGTTTGGAGCACATATATTCAGCACGAAAGGTCTGCTGAACAGCTCAGCTCAAATGCTGCAGGAAAATAAAGTTAGGATGAAGTATAAAGGTATGTTACATAACTTAATGCCACATATTACACTTAAAAACTTCATATGATAAATGACTTTTTAATGGCTTCAGCTAATTTTCTAATTTAGATTTGAGTCTTGGAGTGCAGTATGAGTGAAGAGATCTTTCTTGAATAACCAGAACCTTTTTTGTTGTATTTAGACTGTATTTTGTCCCTTCTTGATCAGAAGTGATGGTCTGATCTGTAGTAAAGCTGCTTTAGATTCTTTTGGCACAGACAACTTTGTGTTAAAAAGATGGAAGAAACAAGAGTTATGATTTTCTTTTGCTATGCCAGGAAAATTGCTATGGCTGACCTACATATATAGGAGATGAATTTTATCCCAAAAGTTGCAAGGCTCAGTCATAACTTCCACTGAAAACTTTCCTTTTCTCATGGAGCAAGCCAGAAGCCTCTGAGCTTAATGTGAAAACTCACATGGGGTTCAGTGTGCTTTGAATAGAAGACTGGGTTAAGCTGTCTCTGGAAAGGATTCTTAAGCAGTGCTTAATCCTGTGCTCAGGGCTATATTGAGCCATAAAAGTACAGTTAAGAGCTTTCTCCCACTCTTGGTCACTCCTGTGATAAAGAAAATAGAAAAAACATAAGGAGATCAAAAGATGACCTGCAAAGATCAGTCATCTAATGCTGCTTAGGGTGCAGTGGGATTAGACCACACCCAATTAGTAGCAGCTGGAGAAAACGGGAAAATGTAAAGCAACACTGCATTAAATGGTAACAGAAATTCTGGTGTTTTTAAACTTGAAGTATGTATATACTTGTAACCTAAAATGAGACTAAGAAATTACATAGAATATATTAAAGTGAATATATTATGAAAGTTCTGGCCACAATATTCAGAATTCAGCACCAGAATCCACATATTGAACTGAGAACTTCAGCCTTTTCTTATCTTGAAGCACAAAGTTGACATTTCAGTTCTGAATGCACACACACACACACACACACACAAATACACAAGTCTCTATGGTATTTTAATTTGGGGCTTCGATCTGGGATACATCCTAACACAGAGAAAACAATTCACTTTTTTAGTGATTCTACAGAAGTTACTCAAAGTAGCACCTGAAAAATTGCAGCAGGTTCTTTGATAAGAAAGCAGAACTAAGAAAACGGGTAGTTTTGTATGTTCAGTGTGTTGTTTCAGTGAACCCCTCTGCATCATTTTTTCCTTGCTGAGTGTGGTAATTGCTCTTCCAGTTACTCATAGGTGAGATTGCTCCAGAGCCATGAGGACTGCTGTTTGTAATGAAAATAAATGTCTCTAATTTGTTTGATAAGTCAGCCTGTAGGCTCTTCTTATTTCACTGCTACTCAGTCTTCCACACAGTACTTTTTTCTTCTTGCCTTCCATCCCTTTTATGAGTTGATACTGTATCTTTAACAGAAATCAGGTCAGTAGGTTAAACTGGTTTTGCATTAGCTATTAAGATATGAAATCTTCATTGTTTCAATTTTTTTTTCTCTCTGTAACCACTATGAGTAGGTAAAATTCAGCTGCTTAAACATAGATATCTAGATCATTTTAAATGTCATAAGACAGCAGAGACATAGCGCACAGGACTGGAAGATATAACATAGCAACTGGAAGCCAAGCAGGTTATAGCAAATAATCTGAAATGGCACTAGAAGAGTGGTTCAGGCAGCTGAAGCCCCATTGGCTTTTACTTCTTTTTCTTCATTTTCTTTGTATTACATTGGCTTTTATATACTGTAGGAAAGTAAATAAATAAAATTAAATGTCAATGCTGCTACCATTTGTTTTTCTGATTTGAAACATCATCTTAGTTTCACTGCATGGGCTTGTTAATGACAGCTCATGTGTTGATAACAGCCCCAAAACATGGGCGAATCCTGGGATATGCTGAAGCAGGGAGCTTATAGGTCTACAGAACTGGAATGAAGGTACATTGTCATTGTTGTTCTCCTGTGTACCTGAGTGTCAGCACAGGTGCTGGTTAGTTCCACACAAGTGAAATAGTTTAAAAATCATGGCCCAACCCTTGCAGGCAATGATGTCTCTGCAGCTGCAGTGCTGAGGTGTTTGCACTCCAAGGATTCATCATGTGCTAGACCTGCAGTTTGTTTTCTGCAGTGCAGGCCACGCGTCTGCTTGTCAGTATTTCTCAGTTATTATTAACAAAGATTCCTCCCTGGCTCTTTACAAATGATACTGTTGTCTGGTTGTCTCAGTAAAATAAATACATGTAGCAAACATGGACTGTTGGGTTTTTTGGGGGCTGGAACATATTAAACTGATCTTTATGTTTGAAAAACTGCATGAAAGCTAGAAATATCGTCAGTTAAACATCCTGACAGATGACACTGTGGCTATGTGGGATATTATGAAAGACATTTTCGTAGACTGTACGGGTGTTAGAGGGGGATTTTGTTACAAGTTTAATGTTGTTTAAAATGTGCGGACTTGGGGCTAGATAAGGAGAAAGGTTAGAGCCCTAAAGGCACTGACATGTTGTATGACTGTTAGCACATCAGTGTGCACTGTACACCCAAATTGGAAATGGTTGAGAAGAAATACATCTACTCATTTTCTTCATGAAAGAAGTGTTTCTGTGACTATCCACTCTCAGCACTTCCATTCTTTGTGTATAGAAGCTTAAACACCTAACATAAATATTAGTTTCTGGTTTGGAGGTGTAGTACCTTGAAAATTAGATATTGGACTGCCAAAATCTAGAATTGAGTCTGGCTCACTCTCTTCTTAGGCCTTTGAATCTGCATTGTTGTACCTACAATGCATACGGAATATTACAACAGTGCTGCAGTTGGCAAGACCCATTAGGGCTTTTGCCTGCAGGATGTAGTGACTGACATCGCTTCAGTACTTGCATTGTGGTTGTTCTCAGGCATACGTTAGGGACTAAAGCACAAAAGAAGCAGCATGTATTTGCTGAGAATAATTTTCTTTCCTTCTAATGGGGAATGGTAAAAGATCTGGGACTGACTACTTTGTCCTGCAAGCCTATACTGACTCTGAGTGAAATACAGAGACCTTTGCTGTAAAACGTAAAAACAGTAAATGAAACAAAAGACTTTTACACACACAAATGAAGACTTCTGAAAGACATATACATAAGTACTCTTTAAAAAAATAAAAGGCCAGCTGTAATCAAGCATTTAAAGATTAATGACCTTGTTTCCTGGATGCACATCCAGAGAAATGGGTAAGAATCTAGAATCCCGAACCAGGACTTGGGATTTCTCCCTCTAAGAATATAGTGTATCTAGAGTAGGGTCATCTTATAATGGCACCCACAGCAGTCAGGGTATAGGGTATAGAGCTGGCATGGGATAGAGATAACCAGCAGGATTTTTTAAATGTGTGTGTCATAGCAATATTGATTTTGTTAAAACTTGGTCACTCTGCAGGAAAAAAAACAAACATAGTTCAGGTCAGTGACAAGCTAAAATGAGAAGCATGGCTCCACAGTTTAGCATTTGACACCCCACAGGAGTGGGTAATGTTGTATGTTTTGGGTTCTAGCTTCAGGCATTTCCACATATTCTAAATTCATCAGTTACTCAATAATATAAAAAAACCCGGTAATATAAAAAATCCAGGCCTGGCAGTTGTAGCTCAGACCCAGAAGTCCCTCCTCACAGTTAAGTGAGGGCTCCAATTCTTTCCAGATTATTTCAGCTAACCAGAGAAGAGTTGGGGTGGGGAGTAGGAGTAGAAAGTTTGGTGCATTAGCATCTGAACATGCATTAATTGCTGAGAAACGACACACATTATACTGGCTCCACCCCATCTGGTTGATTTGATGCTCTGTCTGAAAATAAATTCTGTGGGGCAAAGCAAATTCTGTTCACCTTTAGGAACATACAGCATTTCATTAACTTCTCTTGATGTGTTAAGCTTTATTTTTTTACTTCAATGCAACAGCATGGCTTGCCCCCAACAATCAGACAAGTTTGTCTTTTTTGTGAATGGCAGGAAGGTAAGTTTTTACATGCGTTTTCTGGTTTTTTTTGAGCAGCGGTGCTTTAGTGTTTACTGTTCATATTCAGGAACAACGGATAGTCATCGCTTGTCTTTGATCTTACAGCATCCTGCTTTCTACCACAGTTTTTACATAGTCTGAGCGACTTTGTATCACAAACTATATCACAGAATTTTTTGAATTATAATTAGTTTTCTGTTTACTAAAACCTTATGCTAATATACCTCTAAAGTTGATGTAGTTGGAGGAAATACATCACTAGTAGAAGAATATGCTGCTTACTAATACAGTTTTCATAATTCATCAGAAGAAAAGTAGTTTATTTTTTTTCCTGTTCTTGATGCCAAAAGCTTACATTTCATTTTCTGAGACATTTTGTCACCCTTTTTTACTTTGCAGGTCAAGCGAATGAGAATGCCTGTTAACAGACACATCACTCAAATTATATTATAAGCTGAATTGAAGGAATTTTATTTCTTGGTTGAAAAATAAACAAATAGACCAGCCTTGCTATGTATTTTTCTAGATATATTTTTTCAATTATTTGGTCAATATTTTTATACTCTAGAGAGAGGGTACTGGCTTTTTTTTTGCCAGGTGAATTAAGGAGAAGTAATTCCATTTTTTTCTATCTGTTACGTTTTATCTGTCATTACATGCCAGCTGTGCTTAAAGGTATACTCTGAAAC